AGGCAGCATCGCTGCTTCCATGAATATGGACATGCTGGTCGCCTGGGGGAAACACCTTACTGCCTTCACACTCTTGTCGCAGAGGACAGTACGACTTTACCCCCAGACCGCCTCGTAGCTGATTACTCGTAGTACGGGTTCTCGCTGCATTTGGTCTGGCTGCTCCACTTTGGCCTTCCTGGCATGGTTGCATTTTGTGGAACGAAGTTCCAGCCGGTGTAGCCTGCATGATCATTGCAGCACTCCCGACCAACCACCACGTCAAGGTGGCAGCTTTAGGTCGGGCCAGAAGGCGTATGGTCGGCTATAGCAGTCTTCCGTTGCCTAACTGCCCACCAGAAGGCAGCTTTAGGTCGGGCCAGAAGGCGTATGGTCGGCTATAGCAGTCTTCCGTTGCCTAACTGCCATGCCACCAGAAGGAAGCACGACGGCTGGGATAGTGCGGTTTCCCAAGTCTAGACAGGGAAAGTCGAGAGGCATAGGTCGGGTCCGAACCACGGACCTTCCGGTCAGTAAATCCACGTTCTAACCATTGAGCCATTTCTCGGAGAATCCCTGATGACCAATCTAACAAAACTAATTGATAAGGTATTGAGTTAGAGGGAAGTGCCTGCAGGATGTGGCATTTCGACAGTTAACGCTATGTGAAAACCACCGTGGTATCAGCATGTTAGCTGTGGCATCGAAGGTGCTCACTGGCTTTATCCCTCGAAGGTTGAGTGAACACAGAGAGAGGCAAATCCGTGAAAACCAAGCTGGTTCCGGCCTGCAAGAGGATGCGTCGATCACACCTTCGCCCTCCGACAGATTCCGCACCAGCCACACTGCTTCCCGCAACGAACAATGACCGTATTCCTTGACTTGCAAGCTGCCCTTGACTCAGTGGACCGTCAGGCACTATGGCAGTGTCTGTGGAGCAAAGGTATCCCCCATAAATTCTTCACCCTCCTTAAGGTTCTGTGTGCCAACTCTTACGGCCGCGTGGAGGTCTACGGGAAGCTCTTGTCTGAGTTCACCACACCAAGTGGTGTCCGACAGGACTGTTCTCTTTCCCCTTTTCTTTTCAACTTCACTATCAGCCTCTAACGCCTGTGGCGTCAATGTGCTCCCAGGGCCTCCACTCACACACCGTGTACGCGGACGGCATAGCCCTTCTTGGACCTGACCCCGTGGTAATGCGAACAATATTGAATAATCTAAATAATTCTGCCTCGCGGTTCGGCATGCGCCTCACACCTGCAAAGTGCAAAGTACTACTGCACGACTGGATGGGCTCGAACCCTAGCCTCATGCTTACGGATGAACCGATTGAGGTAGTAGACGAATTTGTTTACCTGGGCAGCTGTATCAGTCCCGTCGGTCTGACGAAAGATATTTCCATCCGGATTGGGAAGACCAGAGCGACTTTTGCGAACCTACGTCACCTGTGGCGTAGGCCTGACATAAGCTTCTCTGTCAAGGGTCGAGTTCATAACGCTGCGGACGTCAAATCTTTCGGTGTTTGAACATCGGCATCCTTAAATCATTTCCCGAGTTTGGTGTGGGCACCGGATTATCAATGCTGAAGTATATCGAATAGTATTCAGAAGATGAACTGACCACACTGCATAGGTTGCGCCGGCTTGGCCATGTGTTGTGTGTGCCAATCGACCGACTTCCTTTTAAGCTTCTTTTCGCACAAGCACGTGAAGGGCAGAATCGAGCGAAAGGATGTCAGTGACTTGGCAATTAGTGGCAAACTCAGCTGCGCTGGTTGCTGGCGTCTTCCTGCATGGGGACCCCGATTTGGGCCACATCAATGGTTAGAGACACTGTCAAACAGGCCCGATCGTGCACACAATAACGCTAGTGCAACCAAGCTATCGTCTTCAACGCATAGTTTCCTTCGCAACTTTCCACTCAACCATCCACTGAAGTCCTGTATTTACACATCAATTTATCAGCCCCTCCTCCAGTGCGCAGCAACACAGCTCCTCAAATCACCGGTGGACGAAACTGTGGAAGCTACAACAACTGTACGGCAAGTACGCGGTTCTGACCGCCGATAATGATGATGATGTTGACAGGGTTCGAGTTTACTAGACTACAGTACAGTTGAATGACTACGAAACGTGGCATCTACGGACAGATAGTGTCAGCCGTCTTCAAGATTGTTACCACCGACGCCTCAGAAGCGTTGCTGATGTCGAATAACGTCAGCGGCATTATCAAAAGTATGACATCAGTGTTCAACACCGATGTTTCACTGCCGTACAACCATGATTTGTTTGAAGGTCTTATTGTAAAGAAGAGTAAAGGTGGACGGGGAAGGGACTCAGTGCTAGCTTACCACAATCATCCCTTGGTGCCTATACCTCAAGACACTCACTCAGGCGATCTGGATAGAAACTGACAACAAGAAAGCCACTCACATCGGTTGGCAGCCGTACGTTGTAATGCCTCCAACCAGCCGCAGTGAGGATCACGCGGTCCCCATCCTGGAAGGCGAGTAGCACCGACAGCACCCAAGCGTTTCGTGATCTCCTTCATACTCCTCAACTCGACCAAATCTAGGGTTGGCCACCCCTCTGTTTACGCCACTCTGAATTGGGAATGGAAAACAGCACTCCCTTCGTCAAACGGTGGTTCGGTATACGCAACACATGTCCCAACCAACGCAGCTTCTGGTGCTGGACACATTCTTCAATGGAAGTACCCGTTGCATAACCGAAAACTCACTTTCTAACTGCCTCGTTACGGCTACGCTGACAGAAACTCACATGAGGTATGGTCCTGAGACAACGATTGTCGAATACCTGAAGACGTCTCAGTTCAGCTGCTCGAATGAGCAAAGTCTCACAGCCATACAGAAATACAACCCACACTGTAGTTTGATACACACGTCCCTTCAGATTCAGGAATAAACCATTCTGACGTCTCAAATTACCAAACGCGGCCCGAGCCTTGCATATTCGTGCATTCACCTTATCTGTCACACTACAATCAGAACTAATGCGACTTCCAAGATACATAAAACGTTCCACAACTTCCAGTGTCTCTCGCTGGATTGTAAGTGGCGTGTTCAGTGACTGCATGTCCACGAGCATGACCTTACATTTTTTGGGTGTAAACTGCATACCAAAGGACGGGATGACTTTAATCAGTTCATCCAAAAACACCTGCGCCTTCTGAGAACGATGTCGTCTGCGTACTCTAGATCCACAAGGTTTTCTTCACAGGGTATTTGAACACCCGGGTTTTTGAAGACCTACCATCGTTCGCCTCTTGATTTCACATCCAAAAGTCCGAGAATACAAAGAGCTTATTATGTTCACAAACTTCCGGTGCATTCCTTGGTGGGCAAGGGTGTCAAGAGGAACAGACCGATCAACGGAGTCGAACGCGCTTTCGAAATTCAGGAATACTAGAATTTTGGGTCGCTTATACGTATGGTGTTGTTCTAGCACTTGACGTAGTGTGAAGATTTGGTCAATGCAGCCCCTACCAGGCCGGAATCCCGCTCACTGGTCTCGAGTCAGTTTCACGAGCCACCGTAAGGCGACGAAGCAGAGGTAATGCCAACGGTCCCGTTACCACCAGGGTCGAGCTAATTCCCCTATGGTTACCACACTCACTCTGATCCCCTTTTATGAAAATGAACACTATCACCGACACCACCCAGTGGTCTCCGTTTCCCAAATGCAAGGAAATAGATCAGACAAGCGCTGACTGAGGACTTGACCTCCGTCCGTGAACAACGCGGGTTGGAAGTCATCCGGACCAGGAGCTCGGTGGCGCTTGAGAGGACATATGCAGTTGTAAACCTCCGAGGCCATAGGTGGTTCCACGTTCACCGTCCAGGGTTCTACTTCACCTGTGGGCTCTAGAGGAGTGTCACTTAGTGGCCACGACAGTTGTTCGAAGTATTCAGCCCACCAGTCGTCGTCCGCCCTTTCTGTGTCTAGCTGCCATGCCACACGAAGGAGGCACGAGGGCTGGAATACTGCCAGGTTGCCCAAGCCTAGACAGGGTAAGTCGAGTGACAGAGGTCGGGTTTGAACCACGGACCTTCCGGTCAGTAAATTTGCGCTCTAACCACTTGGTCCATCTCGCCCCCAAGCCCACCGGTCGACGTGACCTTGTAGCGACCCAGTCACCCACATACTTGACTGTTCAACTCACAGTCGCTCACTGGATCGCGAGGCTTGTCTTTTTTCTCATACAAACACGTCACATTAAGCTGACTCATCGGACATCGATTGTCTGCACCGCCTAGTCAGCGTAGCAACTAATGTGCCGACGCGCCCACATACACGCACTGAGACCTACATAAAGGGAACCGAACTCAGTCAGCACAGTCCCGCGCGCGCACAGGGAGAAAGGAGTCAGCGGAACACTCCCAGTCCACGGACAACTATGGACTACGTGTAGCAGCTATACTGCGAAGAAAACACGTTTCCGCCGTCCGGACTTTCACCAAGGGACTCTCACATCCGATAAGTTCCCTTTTTTGACTCGCTCCCATTTCGCACTGCATTTCTTTTTATACGTATCTCATCAACACTAAAAACTTCTGTTAGTGCACATACACCTTCTGATTTGTAATATGGCTATCACCACCTTTGCACTAATAACCTTCATTCGAGATGTTCGTAACGAGCTGATTGAAAAACCGGTATTTGGTGTAATTCACTCGCGGAAAACAGCTAACACCAACTGTGGTGGCATGGTCCTGTGTTACGCATACCGAAACACCGTCTACCAGGTCGAGTGTTGTTCTCCGTGCCCCCTTGAGAATGGTGCAAACCGCGAGGTTGATAACGTATGAGTTGGCAGAAGGGTCCGTCATCATCGACAGCACGACGTCAGTTTTCAACATTTATACTTCGCTGCTGTATCTTGGTGATTTATTTGAAAGCCATATTGTGAAGGAAATAATAAAAGCGTACGAGGAATGGACTTAGTGATAGGCTACTACAATCATTCCCAGGTGCATGCACTCCCAGACACTCATTCAGGCAATATGGTTAGAAACTGGCAGCTAGAACGCCAGTGGCCATGTCTTGCAGCTTCTCCAACCAAGTGTAGTGGGGATCATGCGGTCTCCATCCTTGAAGGCGAGTCGTACCGACACCATCCAGACCTTTCGTAATTTCTTTCATACTCCTCTGTCAGGTTGGGGGTTGGAACATGGGTTGCGACGTATTCTATAAAATGGGGCGAGATCGCCCAGTGGTTAGAGCTTAATTTACTGACCGGAAGGTCTATGGTTCGAACCCGACTTCTGCCTCTCGATTTTTCCTGTCCAAGCTTGGACTACCTGGCAGTATACCAGGCCTCGTGCTTCCTTCGGCTGGCTGGGTTCTAGGCACTGGAAGGGTTTTTACAGCTCACTGGTTCACGGAGGCACACAAACCGTCACACTACGGTAAGATGCAGTCTCTCCGGGAAGAAGAGTTTTAATGTTGGTGCAGTACACTTTCCAGGATGGAGTGTCCATTACTCCACTTGCGGTTTTTTGGAGACCTCGCAGAAAATGGTGGCTGATCGGTGTTTTCATTTTCTTTCCAGATTGCCTTACTGGGCGCTTGGAGATGTAGGCACCTCAGAATGTTCTGGTTAGGCAATCGTCAGGTTCACTCTTTTTCCCTTCTTTTCATTTTAGAGCTTGAAATGTAATTATATAAACTTTAGGGCTGTACGGTAGTGAAGCATCAGTGTCAACAGTGATGATGATAATGGTGGCCGCCTCCACATGCTTGAACATTGTCAGGAGTTTCGTCTACGGCGCGGCACCGTCAGTTTGCTCAAGTTCCTTATACGGGACAGAGCACTGCTACTGCTTGAATCTCAGCGAAATATTCCTGGTGACTTGTGTCCCCGTACTTAATTCAGTCCGGCGAATTCCCAGACGTCAAGTGAAACTCTGCGTGCGCACATACAGTGAAGCCTATTAGGTACGGAAGGTTAAGGACAGAAAAAGTGAAAAATCTCAGGAATTATCGAAGATTTTTTCGATTGGTCTGTGTGACCCGTCCCCTGAATCTGCCTGTGAGCGAAGCCATCACGAATAGACTGGTGTGACCATCTTTAATACAGAAGAACACTTCTGCCTCTGGGCCGAGTTTTTTAAACAACAATTCTCGTGGCCGCCTGCTGCCCCTCAGTCGGATTTGCGAACTGCACCAGAACCATGGATAGTGAACTTGGAAGTTTTTTATGGCCTCGAAAGTTCATGATTGCATATCTCGAGCGCCACCGAACCTTCAATCTAGGTGACTCCCACTCACGTTGGGATGGGAGTAAGGTCCTCTGTGGGTGTTTGTTTGGTCTACTTTTCCGTGAGAGGAGACCGAGTCAGTGTCTGTTTTCCAGAAATGAGCCCGCTGAAAATATGGCACTCGCAAGGGAGTTAGTGTGATTCTGTTTGTGAGGGCACTGTTGGCGTCACTTCCCTTATGCTGGTCCGTGAAGCAACGACTCGAAAGCGGCAAACGGAATTTCTGCCTGGTCGAGGCTGTTGGCATCTTTACACTCCTTCAGGTGCTTGGACAACGGGTTCCACAGTTTTGGCATCCACGACCTACTAACATAAAGTCACAATTTGGGAGAAGTACTACGCTACACCGAAGTTTTGTGCGACCATCAGCTTTTGTTAAGCTCCGCACGACCAAAGATATGCACCGCCGATGAACTCCAATAAGAACGAAACTCGAGTCCTCCCTTTGGTATGGATTCACGAAGATAGTTGGGCCAGAGCAGGACGATGGCTGTTCAAACGAGAATATGAATTCTACAAATCCCGCAACCAAATCCAATTAACTTTATTCTTCTTGTCCCCTGTCCGTTTTGTATGAGCGATCAAAACTCCAGAGTCTTCTGCATTTATGCTTTCCCATAAGTGCTTAGTGTTGTCTGATCCTTCTTCCTTATTTTTCACTTCCAGCCGCCCTTGATGAACTGTAAAGAGCACAGCTTTAATTTCGTAAGCATTTTCTGTTACCTAATGGTACCATTTAGGCCGTAGAGGGGCCAGAGATAGAAGAGCTTGTGTCAGGTATTGTTCAGTGCCCTTGGTAAACTTTGAGTTTCTAGCTGTTTTCCACACCATACTGTTCCACCGCACATTGCCCGCAGTAAAATCCGCATGAATTCCTAAAACTTTTCAACTGAATTTAGCTTGATTTCAAGGACGGGTCCGTGAGTTACAACTCCTACTTGGGAACGCGCGACGTAGACTGTGAGAACTTTCCATTAACTTACGTAAGTTTCATTTGCCACTTCACATCTTGTTTTCTCCATAGGATTGTATCGATTGATATCTCGAACGATATATCCTGTTTTTAATTGTTATGAGTAACCGTGTCCACATCTTTCACTCTGCCTTTTCTGACTCATGTTCCATTGCGTTTATTACCTCCTTGGCATCACCACTACCACAAGAAAGTGGTTGTTCTGAAAGGCCCACAATTCCGTTGCTCGAACTCAGGTGCACACGGAGTTGACGAGCCCCACTAAGCATAGAAGAGCTGTGCATTACTTTGCTGGTTATGGCTTCTGGGTAAAATTTGTGGAATAAACCGTACTCTCTTCACAAGAAATACGAAGTGAGTGCTCTTAAATCACTTCTTGCTCCGAAGAGTTTCTCACCTGCCTGATTCCGGAATCCAGCAAGGGTACAAAAAGTTTATTTATCAACCAACATTCAGTCGCACGAGACGCAGTTGTGCTTTTGTTATTTCAGCGGTAAGTATATTCTGGTGGTGTTTTGGAAATGGACCTGTTGTGCACGTAACCATCCTTTACGCCAGGTTTTGCATCCGCTTGGCCATTGCACTCTACACCAAATTTCGTGCCTTTTGAATCCTCCAGTTACTGGCCATTCCTAACACCCCAATATATTCGCTAATTGTGGGGTCCCTTCAGTGGCTTTCTGGTAGCTGAGTTACTCTTGTCACTGAATTCGGCCGTTTTTCGGTCGGTTCCCAACTTTAGGTAGGCGCATTTATATAGGTGAGCTATCTTTTCTCGACATCAGTTAATACCTTTTTCATTGTCAAGATGTGACGCCTGAAAACGACTAATGCCAAACGCAGCCGCGATTTCGGAATTGGTTTCTCCTGCCCTGCTGGGACACGCAACCTTGTTATTTTCGGATAGGAACGTGGAGTTTGAGTAGGAACCCATCGGCTATCTTAATGCAGACTGGACAGGTGGTATGGAAAACGGGTTCATCCGTATACTGACAGTCGCTTATCGTGTCTCGATTTGTTTTGAATGAGTGGATGGGTCAGTTTTGTCCCAACCGGTGAGTGAAATGTGGTCAGTGTAAAACTTTTTGGCGCTTTGATGATCTGTTCCTGTCCATGTAGAAGGACACGTACTTTCGAGCCCAATGTTCCCCGCCCGATAGCCGGAAGACGTTGTTTAGAAAACAGACTTACATATAAAACAAGGACAGTCAAACTTCTTTCCTTTGGGCTATGTCCAATAAAATTTAGATACCGTGAAATGTATCCTTCGAGTTATCATATAAAGAGGAGCACTGTGTTGCTGAATGGCGTAGCCCCAGTTGGAGAGTTTTCGGGTTTCCTTTGGTTTCCGAGAAAGTTTTCAAGCGAATGGGTCTATTGAACTGCAACTGCTGTGTCATGTATTATGCATGCTAAGTTAGATGCCTTTTCCATCTAGTTAAATGATGTAGATACAGAGACGGGTGGATCGTGCAAAGCCGCTGACGAACTTGGAATCGCGATGAGAAACCAGAACACATGCGGCCGTCTCTACGTTTGACACCCAGTACGACCCAAGCCCCTGTTCCCCACTTGTCTTTCGCAGTTAACCGTTAAAACTGCCTGAGAGTTGCAGCCTCTAATCTGATTTGTAACCGGCTTTTTATGCTGGTGCGAATAGTCTTATCTGAGCAAAAGTGCGGGCTAATTCTATCGGATTACAGGTGCTGGTAATTCGAAGAAACTGGTTTTCGGACTACACTAGATTAGGTGAAGGGTTACTTTACCGGTGAACAGCCTCATTGTGTGAACTTTTCACTGGCTAAATCCTTGTTATTATAATTATTTGTCCACCATGTTTTTCTGTCAGAGATGGGGTCATCGTAGGAAGGTTGTTATTCGAGGGGGGGGGGCAGAACTTAACACATTAATCTGGTCAACTCCTCAATTCTAAATTCACCATAGGTACTTTCTCACATACTCTTTCAAGGGTAATGTGCTTGCACAGACTTTCGCATTCAAGGTTGCCTTTATTTGTATGAGTGACATCTTACCAAATGGGGTGTTGGATTCAGGGGAACATAAGAGGCTCTGATTTCACCAAGTCCGAAGGTCATTCTGACAGTGGAAAATGTGGTGGCTACTGGCGACGTTCTGCCTTAAGTATCATAATTCCCTATTACGACCAACTCTAATACGATGGATTCGCTTGGCTTTTTTGGAAGCTAAATAGGGGCGAAGTACAGTGGTGTTTTCAGCAGGCGGTCCCATAGTTTCTTTGGAAGTTATCAGGAAGTAATCCTCAGCCTAGCGCCCGAGATAGCTCGGTGGTTAAGACGCACAATTACCGACCGGAAGGTCCGTGGTTCGAACCCAAATTCTGCACCTCAACTGTTCATGTCTATGCTTGAGTAACCTGAAAGTACCTCTGCCCTCGCGCTCCTTTCAGGTGGTATGGTAGCTGTACACCAAAAGGGTGTTGCAGCTGAACGAATATTGATTACGAGCTTAAGGTTGTCTTTTAGAAATGATTTAGAAATGATTCAGTTGAATAACGGAGTTGGCGTTGAGCAACCTCCTAACACCTTCACTCAGTCGAGTTGCTCTGATCTTTCCGAAGGTAAATTTTATTGACTGGGCCATGTGGATGACGTCAGCGACACTTCTGAATAAGCTACGGGAGTTTTGCATAGGTTGGACGGGTAGTGTAATCCCCTCTTAACTGAAGGCATGTCAAGCTTACAAATATAGTCATCTGGTATCCTTGAGAAAAAAAACTCGCTTTTTTGAATGCACTTGGTGGGGAATGCACTTTCCCCCACCAGAGCAAAGGTAGAAGGTCGCAACCAGCTCATGAATCTACCAATAGCCTGGGAGCTGACCGTGCTCTTTTTCAATTTAGTCTATACGGATGCTGAAATGCATCTTTCGCCCACTGAACTAAAGATTACACTCAGTTCATTCAAGCAGTGTTCTTATTACTAAACATCTTCAATGTATGGGTCATGTACGGTAACAAAACGATAGGAGAAGGGGAATGTCCCGCAGCCCGTCCATTTAATTAACTGCCATATTGAAAGTTAATCAGATCCCTCTATATCTTACCAAACCAAGGCCTGCGTTGCCGATGTAATATTAAGTGAATCCATAGCCAGTAGTGAAATCATCGTAGTGGGCTTGTCTAATTGTTTCCTCTCGGGCCTACCAGTTTACACCACTTTCCCTCAAAAATGGGTCTACTCTAGCAGTCGTATGCTGATCGCTGCTAGTGCCTTCCGTCGTTTTCGGCTAGTACCTCAGCTCTTTCGATAACAAATTGTCTGTAGATACCAGTGTTAAATGCGTCTGTCAAGTCCCACAACTTCCTGCACCTACCGCATCTCGTGCACTTCTCATACTGCTACTTCCTTTGTATAGTGTAGTTTTTAAATGTTCTCAAGCAAATTGGCCGTCAGGTCGCTCTCGATATTTTGGCAATAATCGAGTGGTCTGTTTCCGAAAATCGAACCTGAAACCACGTACGCAACTCGAGCTTACGATACCTCCACTATTTACACATACGAGAGTTAGAAACAACACACTTTGGATATGGATGTCGCTGTCAGTTACCTAACTGAGTTACTCTGGGAGGTTCATTGTTATTATTAAGTGAGATACTGAGTCCCCATTAGAGTCCATTTCAATCCGGACTATAAGGTATAAGTAATGTGAAAAGAGTATGTTATTTTCAGCTGTTACGATTTCGATCACCTAATAATGCACTGGAACTGGTACCCTAATCAGCTATCTGATGTCAATATCTTAGTTGTATGATGAAACGGAAAGTAAGCAGCTACGCATCGAAAGTAGTTTTGATAGCTCTGATGCAGGAGCGCCACTAACTGCGTGATTGAACCATGTCTGCCGTTGTCATTATCCGTTGATCAGTTAATTCCCGTATTCCCCATCCAGAGAAGTAGAGATTGTCACCCGACTAAGATTGATGGGTTTATACTTCGTTGCCAGGCCACTGACTGTCCGCCTCTCGGTCGTTTCCACTCAACAGAGGGCTGGGCAAAAATAGTTCGAATTAGATGGTCCTTTAACGTGCGAAGCCTACGCCCTAACAAGCGTGACCAATGGAGCTCATCCATCGCGGGAGAGTTCCTTTCCAAAACCATCTGGTGCACCTCAGGTACCTCAGCACTATTAATCTGATGTTCCCAGCAAACCCGGTCAATGATCCGGATATGCTCCATTAGCCTTATCGTATCAGCATTGTGCGTATTACTTTACTGTTGTGTCGTGGTTGACCGTCTATTGTTTACGCCTGCACTGAGCCCGCCAGACTACGCGATAAGGAGAAGACAGAGAACCCTGGACACGGTTGTACTGTCAGGACAAAACAGAGCTTCTGCGTAAATATGTAGGATGACTAAATGGCCAATTGTGGTCGTTCACTTGTTCGTCTTGTACAGCCAATGGTGGTGTTCCGGTCGTGAACAATTTCAGCCCAACTCCACTGGTTGTATGTTGCTATGCCGTGTTTGATGAGCTCCGCCAACGTACCTGCTATCCGGAACGTGTGGTACCAATGACGGCAGATGTGCTTTTTTTCATGTCTGAAGAAAAGTCCCACTTTTTGTGCGAGACACAAAGTACACTTCTTGGGCCTGCAGGGTATTTTACCATATGGTATTTAGAAGGCCCAATATGGAGCTGGTCTTCATGAACCGAATGGAGCCCAGATGTTCATAGAAAGGTAAGTCACGCTGTGGTCGTTGGCTTGTTCGCTGAGCTGGGCAATTTGATTGCAATTTGATTGCAATTTGATTGATTTGATGCAATCAAATTGCCCAGCTCAGCGAACAAGCCAACGACCACCATCTACGATACCTGAGCTACCAACATTTTCCTCTATAGAAAAGTCACGCTGTTTTCTCCGTAATCGGAACCATTTCCTCGAAAGAGTTTAGTTGTGCTCTGGAAATTTTCAGCCTCATGATTTTTTAATCTGAGTACGGTGACCGCCTATCAGCTGTCCTATGAAAT